AAAATTTCACCACCAGGCCACCTGCTGGCTCCCCTCCCCCGCTTTTTAAAGAGATTTTTACTAAAGGGTGAGTATGTTTGCCAGAGACAGGAAGGGAGAAATCAGCCTGGCGAGGGAGGGAGGGATTGCCACTCCACAATCGCTTTTCCTCCATTCTCCTTTCAGAATTTTGTGATTGCATGCACACACAGCCAGTGTGAGTTCCAAGTCACCAGGACTCAAACCATCACGGTAGACCATGTGGGAGTCCAGTACCTTAACCGCTATGCCACATGCTGGCCCCTTATCTTGTTAATCTGTTTCATATCAATTTAAGATATAATTATGGGGACTGGCAGGTGACATGGTGGTTAAGGTGATGGACTTTCGCATAGCTGACCACGGTTCAGGTCCTGGACCTGGTGCCTTGCTTTCTCACTTTCCCTCTCTCTCTGTCTGTCTCTGTTAAAAGTAAAAATAATGAGAATGATGAATAAAATTAAATAAAAATAATTATATTTTTAAAATTTATAATTATGTAGCCCAGCCAAAGAACCTAGAAGAGTGGGAAGCTATTTTTCCTTCACTAAATACTGGACCAGAAGAATGTCAGGGCCTGACTTAGAGGGCCATGAAATGACTTTGAGGGGCCCTAAACACTTTTGCCTTTGTGACCCCCTTTTCCCAATATAAAGTTTTGTTTTTTGTTTGTTTGCTTTATTTTTAAGAGATTTTTGCTATAGGGCACATGCACTCGCCAGGGAGACAGAGAGAGACAAACACTAAAAATTATTCCCTGGGGGGATGACCGCACCACAGCGTCCTCTCCTCCATTCTCCTCTTGGGATTTTGGGCATGCAAGTACACGCTCCCAACGTGAGTTTAAGCCACCAGGTTGGGGAATTATTTTATTTAATTTTCTTCATCATTATTGTTATTTTTAAAATTTGACTATGGAGCAAGAGAGATAGGGAAAGTGAGAGAGGAAGCCACCAAGCTCAGGACTTGAACTGTGGTCAGCCTCATGGGAGTCTAGTGCCTTAACTACCTCGCCACCTGCTGGGCCCGAGTCTGGGGTTTTTATCCATGCCAGGAGGAATCCATTCATGTTCTGTCCCCGTTGAATTCACATGTTACGTATGTTAGGCTGTACATTTAGGGGCTGTATATTTAGAGAACTTCTGGTAAATGATTACCCAGGTCTGAGAGTTTCAGTTCCCAGAGCCCATTATCTAATGGTTAATGATTGTTTAAGTCTTTCTCTTGGAGCCTGGGCCCTAAAGGTCATCACCTAGGTCTGAATAGTGGGGACATGGGAAAAGCCAAAACGGCTTCAGTTCGTGCTGCCTGGGTTAATCATTGAATCACTGCTGCAGGCACAAGCCATTTCATGAGCAAGCAGTCTCTGTGAATGCTGAACCACTACTCCATCTTTGGGCCTTGTATTCCGACTGCCTATTCCATAGGGTTTGATCTCAGTAGTTGCTATCAAAATGGGTTTTGGGGACTAGCAGTTAGCGTAAAGGCTATGTCGCTGGACTCCCATGTAGTCGACCGTGGTTCAAGTTCCAGACCTAGCAGCTTAAACCTCACGCCGTGCACGTGTGTGTGCATGCCCAAGATCCTGAGAGGAGAAAGAAGGGCCTGCGGCGTGGCCATCCCCTCTGGGGGGTGATTTCTTGCTTTCTGTCTCTCTCTGTCTGGTGAGCGCACGTGCCCTATAGCAAAAACCTCTCCAAAAAAAAAAAAGGGTTTTAATAATTTATTTAACTTTATTGTTTTCTTATATGTTTGTTTGTTTGTTTGTTTTGCTATAAGGTACGTGCGTTCACCAGAAAGACAGAGAGAGAGAGACAGAAAGCGAGAAATCACCCCCAAGGGGAGATGGCCATGCCACAATCCCTTCTCCTCCATTCTCCTCTCAACTGTGCTCTATACAGAGGTCCAGTCACAAGTAGAAAGCCACTGCTCAGCTGCTTCAGGAAAACCACTCTCTTGTCTCTACGGCGTCCAGTGAGGATGATCAGAATGGTCCCAGGAGTGATGCTAGCTCGCAGCTTTCTCAGAGGCTAGCTGAAGGATTTTTTTTTTTTTTTTTTTTTTTTTGCAGTGGCTCAACAGTGTTCAAGGCACATCTTCAGTAAGATAATACCTCGCGTTTTGTGAAATTTAACCACTCGGGTACCACCATTTCTTGTCCCCACCAACTGGTTCTGTTGATAGTGGCAAGAACCTTTTTATTTCCTTTCAATCCTGGATTGAGTGGTTGAATATTTCCTCTTACACCTGGCCTTCCTGGAATACATAGCAGATTGGGAGTATCTGCTGATGCCTCAGACTAGGACTGCGGTCCAGCTGCGATGGGGCTTCCCCTTCTTGGGCTTTTTAGCCTTGGGGTCACCCTTTTTAACCTTGCCACTGGCATCAGCCTTCTTGACTTCAAGTTTCTTCTTAGTATCTGGCTTCTCAGCTTTTTCACCTGTCATTTTCTATAAAGCAAAAGGTATTATTTTAAAATTTTGCTACAGGGCACATAGTGCTTACCAAACAGAGACAGAGGGAAAGTGAGGAAGAAAGCAGCCAGATCTGGCTCGAACTGCATTTGGCCACATGGGCATCCAACACCTTAAGCATAGTCACCTGCTGTCCCCAGACTATCAAAATTTTAAATGTGTGAACTATTGGGGCTCAGAAACTGATACCTCAAAGATTGGTGTTTTTACATGCTGAATTGGAGAAACAGCCGCAGAACTAAATTCTTTCTCTGACCTTCCCCTCCCCTTATCATATCCAATTCTCTCCTTCTCGAAGTACAAGTAAAGATTTTACTCTGATAGTCTACAATCAGCCCGCAGACCTGACCCACTGAAGAAAAAAAACAATTTTCTGTCCCCTCCCTGAGGTTTCCAGTAACTAAGCTCATATCACCTGTGGTTAGCGAAGACCCAGCTCATCCCATTATTTCCTGTTTGCACTGCCTCTGAGTTCGCCCATCTCCCAGCCGCCCCAGCTGCCACCCTCGCTCTTGTAGGCTTCTCACCTTTTCTTCGTCACTAAAGTCTTGAAATATCCTTCTCCCCTGCCCTTCCTCAGGCCTCACTAACGTCTAGTCCTCTGCTCACCCTCACCATACTGCCGGAGCTGCTTGTAAAAGCCTACCCATTTGGTGGACATTCTGTAACTGCTAGAGGAGCGCTAAGTGCTGGGACAGCTGAACCCGCAGGGCCCGGCATGCCCAAGCCTCTGCCTCCCCCTGGGAATGACCAAAGCACCAGAGCAGCAGCTCTGATACTCCAGAGTCTGTTCCAGATTGAGAATTCTAACAGTGGATCGCACGTCTGTAAAACGACTCTTCAGAAAGGCACAGTATGGCTTTCCTTGAAGACTGTTTGCATGTGGGTATAATAGGAAAGATATTCTCTCCTGACAGGATGGAGTAAAAGTGATTGTGACCACGACCATGTCCCACTAGAAGGTGCTTAGTCTTTCTCTCCCTCAGGCCAGCATGTATACTCTCTGGCAATTAAAAAACCTTTTCCTATATTTAAATTTTGTAGGGTTGGTCCCTTATGAGTGGTTAGCTGCTGTATATGGAAAGCTGGATCCTTCATGACTGATGGCATTCTGGGGACATGAGCATTGGAGCCCAAAGTCCTAACAAGAGAGAGGTGGAGGAAGGTGGATTGCACCATGGCCATGGCTCACTGAAGGGTGAGCTTTTGAGTACTCTCTCTGGTCAGTGCATATGCACTCTAGCAATTTAAAAAAAACCAAGATGTAAAAAAATTTGTAGGGATAAGAGGTGCATGGTGGCTAGAGAGCTGGATTCTACATGGCCGACTGAGTAGTTGGGTCCCAGGACAGTGGCTGGAAAAAGCCAGCCAGGCATGTATGCATGTGTACCCAGAATCCCAAGAGGAGAGTGGAGGAGAAGGGATTGCTGTGTGGCCATTCCCCCAAGGGGTGATTTCTCACTTCCCCTCTCACTGCTCGCTCTGCATTTCTCCTGCAAGCTCACTTGCTCTATGGCAAAATTCTAAATAAACATATAAGTCAATTGAAAATGTAAGACACTGCAGTTTTGCCTAAAATTTAAAACATATTTATTGATAAAATTTACATACGTAAAACTCACCTGTTTTAAGTGTACAATGACTTACAGTAAATGTACAGTGCAACCATCCCCACAGTCAAGTCTGAGGGTATTTTAGCACACCAAAATGATCCCTAGTGGTCGTTTTTCTATCAATGCCCCCTCAGACACAGGTCTACCGCTTACCCATAGACCCAGGTTTGTCTAATTCTGTTCTAATTGGTCGAAATTATCTTACCCCAAATAATAATTAAAACAAAAAGCCAAGATTAGGCTTGCAATGAATATGAACATGGGCATACACGCTCATCAGTGCATCAGAGCCTATCAGCTATCAGGACTGCGGTTGTGCGAGAAGTCCCTTTACTCATCCCCTGAGCAAAGTGACAGGCTGCCTGCCTACGTGGAGCTTACTACTGACTCCAAGCAAAAGCAGCAAGCGCTTGCTCTAGACCGGACATGCCTGCAGCTGTATAAGAGGTGCGTGCACGGTTTAAGAAGTGATAACGTGTATCCGAAACAGAGGTCCAGTCCGTGCGGTGAGCGCCTGCGCAGTTTCGCCTGTACCTAGAAACCAGGAACCGAAATTCCCCGGTTCGAGATCTATGGGTCCTGCTGTTGGAGCGCCGCCGTTTCGGATCGGAGCGCTCACCTGTGACACCCACGAAACCAAACTTGGCAAGTAACCCTCCGACTCCCTTGCCTTTCTTACTCAGAACTCACGGACTGCGGGAAGATACCAGAACGCGGCACTGGCAGCCAGGGAAACGCCTCTCGCTCAGCCACACCCCGCAGCTTACTAGGCCACATCTCTTTGGTCAGGATGGGCCCAGCCCCGCCCTTTCCAGCTGACGCAATCAGCCACGTATCACGTTTCTACGTGTCTCGGACCTAAAGCGGAAGTGACGCAAGCACTCGCGAGCGCAGTGGCGACCCCGAAAGGATATAGGCCGCTGCGGGGAAGGGGGCGGGCAAACGGCATAGGAAGGCGCCGGAAGTGGTCCGGAGCGGTGGGAGAAGGGTGGCCGAGGCAGAGGCTGCCTACTTGGCTGGAGCTGGGTGCCTCGGTACGGCGCAGGTTCACTGCTCTCCGAGTGCCTGGCGCAGTCTCTCCGCCTCGGCCAAACATGGACTTCAGGGAAATTCTCCTGATAGCTTCCAAAGGACAAGGTGTCAACAACGTGCCGGTAAGTAGCACCCGGGGCGTCACGGTGGGAGCCCCCTCCCCCCAGTTCAAGTTCGGAATGTGTGGCGGGTGAAACTTCCAGGCAGCAAGTGGTGGGTCAAACTCCCACGCACCCGCCTATCGGCTACAGCAGAGAAAAGACTCGAACGCCGTGTTTCCCTTTCTTAGATTTACACTCCTGGAAACTCAGGGTACAGGACTTGGATCGCGAGACTGGAGTCGCCTTTGCGAGCGGGTTTCGCCTAGTTACCCTTGAAATACAGACTGCGGTTTTGGTGGTGTTAGTTAAGAGTTGTGGGAAGGACGGCGAGGGAGCTGTGCCTGGCACCTGGTGGAATCTTGTGCTTGCAGTTTCTGGCTTAGGCATTAAACTTCCCCCTAAAGATTGGGGAGAAAGCATGTATATTAGGAGAGTTTAAGGGGTTAGGGAACTTAGTCTGATAGTCTTTTGGGTCGTTTCTCGCAGATCTTTGGGCCAGACGTTTAATGATTTGTCAAACAAGTTCTCTGACTCGCGGCCCCACCCACTCTGTCCAAAAGGTCAATGAATTATCATCTCCCAAGAAAAGGGGGGAGGGAGGTTTCACGTTTTCTGTTAGAGAAATTGAGCTGATTCCACGAAACCCTTGGCCAACAGGATGGATGAGCTAGTTTCAGCTTCCGTTTACTTGTGACTGTCCAGATTTCAGTCTTTGAAAGCTAGGTGCCAATTGCTCAGATATTTGTTAATTCGCTAATTTTCGCAAAGCGATTTAAGACCTAAAATCTAAATGTTGAAATAGTATCTGGTTTGCGGCGTGGTAGCTGTTTTGCATAAACTAGTCATATCTGGATCCTCAGATAGTACCCACAGCGCAGCTGTAAACCGATAAATTGCATTGTGATACCTGCGGTTTGAGCAGTGAGGTATAGCGCTCAAAGAACTCTTGACAAAGTCAGTTCGACTAGAATAAATTGAGTAGCCGTTCTCTCTCTTTCCCCACTGTAGTAAATATACATACAATGTATTCGTACTTTCTCCCTAAGTACTCTGAATAATCCTTCTCCAAAGCCCTGAGTCATAAACTCTGCATGTTGAAAGCTATGGGGTCAAATTTTTGCAACCTTGAACAATTATTTTCTACATCTGTAATTTTCCTAGACTAGTCAGTATTGAATCTGGTAATCATTCATATTTGCGTAATTCGGTCCATATTTCATTCTAGATCTTCTTGAATTTCAGTAAAGATCAAAGATAGGTAGCACTAGCTTTGATGCCCAGGAGTGTTTTGTGGAAGAATCAGAATTCAGACATTTCTTATTTGTAAGGCCAGTAGCTGCTGGGAGAAAAGCAGACAGATAATCTTAGAGCAGAAGTTCGGATATGTGTATGTTTCAGACTACTATATATGATTGGAATAACAAAGCGAAAAGGGAAAAACGTAAGTTGGTGAAGTGTATTAACATTTAATTGATAAATAACAAGCATGTATTTCATGAATCATGCTTTTTTCTAAAAAAAAAAAAAAAAAAAAAACTCCCCGGTCCCCTGCCCCGAAAAAGATGGCAGGCCTAGAAGTTTGATTTAGTTAGCATTACAGTAATTTAGATGAGTTGAAAGAAACTGTTGTAGAATAGAACAAGGCTGTAGTTAAATTCAGTCTGTGATCTTGATTAAGTTGATTCACCCAACTATTTGCCTTTTTTTTTTTTTTGCTAGTGGTTGCTTACACATTCTAGAGAGAGGGAGAGGAGAAAACATCTCCTCCCATGGGAATGGTCATGCCACAATCCCTTCATCCCTTCACCCTTTTGGAATTTTGAGTACTCAAACACAGGTGCCTGGCATAGGCCACCAGATCTGGACTTGAGCTGTGGTGTTGGCCATGTGGGTTCCACCTGCTTTAACTACCGGGCAATAGAGCTGGCCCTATTTATCAGTACTTTCAATTTTTTTTTTAATTACCTCAAAGTAATTTGAACACTGGGGAACAGCATCCTCGTATGCCCATACCCCACATTTAATGTAGATTAACGTTTTGCCATTCCATTTTTAAAAGAAATAAAGTGCGGGACCAGCAGGTGCCATGGTGGTTAAGGGCTCCAGACTCCCACATGGCCAACCGCAGTTTTAGTCCCAGACCTACAGGCTTGCTTTCTCTCTCTTTGTCCCTCTCTGGTCAAATTAAAATAAATAAAGTTAAATGAAATAATTCTTTTTTAAAAGAAGAAATAGTGCAATTGATAGGATTAATGTTTCCTGGCTCCATATTTCCTTTTTAAAATTTTTGAAATGTAACAAACATATTGTACAGTGTAACATGTTCATTCTTTTTGCTATAGGGTATGTGGGCTTGCCAGAGAGAGAGAGAAAAGTGAGAAATCACACCCTAAAGGGGATGTACACACCACAATCCCTTCTCCTTCATTCTCCTCTTGGGATTTTGGGCATGCATGTAAACATGCCTGGTGTGATTCTCAAGCTACTGGATCTGGGACCCAAATACAAACCTGGCCATGTGGGATCCATACCACCTGCTCGCCCTGCAGAGCTTTATATTTAAGAATTGTCTATTTTGGGGGCCGGCAGGTGGCCTGGTGGTTGAAGGTGCAGGACTCCCACATAGCTAACCATAGTTCGTGTCCTGGACCTGGTGGCTTGGTTCCTCACTTTCCTTCTCTCTCCTTCTCCCTCTGAAATTAAAATAAATACATAAAGTTAAATAAAATAATTCTTTAAAAAAATTGTCTATTTTGGGGCAGCGGCAGGTGGCATGGTGGCTAAAAGTGCTGGACTCCCATATGGCCAACTGTGGTTTGAGTCCTGGGCCTGGAGGCTTGCTTTCTCACTTCACCTTTCCCTTTCCTAATCTCTCTCTCTCTCTCTCTCTCTCTCACTCACTCACTCACTCACTCACTCTCACTCTTTAATAAAATTACTCTGTCCCACTCAGGTCAAATTAAAATAAACAAATAAATAAATAAAATAATTCTTTCCAAAAAATTAACAAGTATCTTTTTTTATGCAGAGGTTTTTGCTATAGGGCGTGTGCGCTCCTCAAAAACAGACAGAAAGTGAGAAATCACCCCCCACACACACCGCAGTCCCCTCTCGTCCATTCTCCTCTTGGGATCTTGAACATGCACGCACACGCGCCCAGTGTGAGTTTAAGCTACCAGGTGCGGGACTTGAACCACAGCTGACTACATGGTAGCCCAACAACATAGCCATTATGCCAACTGCTGGTCCCAAGAAGTATCTTTTAAAATATTTTATTTGTCTATTTATTTATTTATTATTTTAATTTGACCAGAAGAGAAGGGAGGGGAGTGAGAAAGCAAACCATGGTCAGCCTTAAGGAGTCCAGCACCTTTAACCACCACACCACCTGCCAGCCCCAAGAAGTATCTATCTTACCTGGGCTCACAGTACATACTAATTTCTCTTGTTTTATTATTTTATTTATAATTTCTTATTTACGTTTGGTTTCATTATATGTCTTTGTGGAGTACAATTTTTTTAAGCATGTATGCAGTGTGTGATAATCAATCAAGTGTATTACTATGTTCATCATCTTCAGAGAGCATCATATTGTGTACCTTCAATTTTCATTCTACTTTTTTAATAAAGAATTATTTTATTTAACTTTATTTATTACTTATTTATTTTAATTTGACCAGAGAGGGATAGAGTGAGTGAGAAAGAGGGAGAGAGAGAGCTGCCAGGTCCAGGATTTGAACTGCAGTTGGCCACGTGGGACTCCAACACCCTTAACCATCACACTGCCTGCCGGCCCCTCATTCTGCTTTTTTGCCAGTCGTGTTTATATGATTGGCAATACCCTCTTGTATCTCTCAAATGTTTTCCTGAGTCCCCGCCCCCTTCCCCTTTTCCCCTGTGAAGTCTCTGGTGTCTGCATTTGTCCTCTCTACTTTTTTTTTTTTTTTTTTTTTTTTAGGAGAGAGTTTTGTTATAGAGAGTGTGAGCCCGCCTGGAGAGACAGAGAGACAGCAAGAAATCATCCCCCCAGGAGGGATGGCCATGCCATAGTCCCTTTTCCTCTATTCTTCTCTCTGGATCTTGGGCATGCATGTGCACACACCCGGCCTGAGTTTTAAGCCACTGGGTCCAGGATTCGAACCACAGTCGACTATGAGAGTCCAGCGATGTAACTATTAGGCTGTCTGCTGGTCCCATCTACTAATATATCTTCCAATCTTTCAATTTCTGCCAGAGTACAGAAGTTCAGAATATGCTACATGTGGACATACTGTGTCTTTCATGGTGTGCTTATTATACTTAACATTAAATATTCTAGTTTTGTTCTCTTTGTGTCAAGTGACAGGATCTCACTGTTCTTCATGGCTGGGTAGTAGTCTATAGTGCATATGTGCCATTTTATATTTTAAAGAATTATTTATTTAGTTTTATTTGTCATTATTATTACTTTATAATTTTCTGCAGAGCACACCTGCTCACCAGAGAGAGGGAAAGTGAGAAAGCAAGCCACCAGGTCCAGGACTGGAACTGTAGTTGGTATGTGGGAGTCCAGCCTTAACCACCACGCCACCAGCTGGCCCCCACTTTTTAATCCAATCATCAGTTCTTGGGCACTTAGCTTGGTTCCATGCCTTAGTGGTTGTGATTGATGCTACCAATAACATGGATGTGTAAATATCTCTCCAGCGGAGTAATTTCCTGTCCTTTGGGTAAATACCCAGGTGCGGGATTACTAATTCACATTGTAGTTCTATTTGTAAAGTTTCGGAGAATCTCCGTATTGGTTTCCAGGGTGGCTGTATTAATTTACATTCCCACCAGCAGTGCACAAGGGTTACCTTTTGTCCACGACCTGGCCAGCACTGCTACTTTGGTTTTTTTGACCTTAGCCATTCTGACTGGGGTTAAGTGATACCTCATTATGGTTTTGGTTAGCATTTCTCTTCTGATAAGAGATGTTGAACTTTTTTTTTTCATATGCTTTTTGGTCACTTTTATGTCTTTGACAATAACCTGTTCAG